TAATATATATATATATATAGATAGATAGAGAGAGAGAGAGAATAATGCAGGGAGTAATCCCATTTTTGTTTGTGTAAACATAATAATGATGAAAATGACATATATACCCCTGGTTGGCAGCAATATAAGAAATCAGTATAAGAAGCAGTTTAAAGGGATCACATTACTCTCCATTCTAAAGATATAAACATCTCAATGCTCCCCATCAAGCTGAGCAAAGATATTAAAAGGAAAGAGTGAAAAGAAAAAAAAAAAGAGAAAATGGATGGGAAGGGAAAGGAAGGGAAGGAAAGATAAGGGGAAAGATTTTTATTAAAAGATCCCCCCCCCCTTTCAGCTAGTGAGTGCCATGCATCTTCATTCTTCTTAATATAAAATATTTTATTAAAAATAAAGAAAAATGAGATTCTCCTTCCTCTTCTTCCTCCTCCCCTCATCCCCCTCCTCTTAAGGAGGCATACACCTCTTACATTCTGAACTATGCCCCACACCCTTAGGTAGTGATATGCCTTGCATCATGCCTCTGTGTTTTAAAACATCGATTTGGACTTGACTATACCTTTAGTGAATACATTAGCCAATTGTCCTTTTAAAGCCACAAGTGGAATACACACTTCTCCCAACAATCCTAGTAAAAAGCCACCGTGAAACCATCAAGACCAGGAGCTTTAGATTTATTCATAGAGAATACAACATCCTTTATCTCCTCCAAGTCAAACCTCCTTTCCAACCAAGCTTTATGCTCCTCAAAAAGAGTATGCCACTCCAATCCCATCTAATGGTTTTCTAAATATTGATATGAAATGATCCACAAAGGCTTTGGCTATATCAGCTTGCTGAGTGACTTTGTTACCATTCACTTCCAACTTTGAGATAAAATTTTTCTTTCTCCCACTTGCCATTGCATGAAAGAATTTTATTTTCCTATCCCCCTCCTGAAGCCATTTGTTCCTATATTTATGTCTCCAACTAATCTCTTCTTTGAGCAAAATGTCCTCCAACTGCTTCCTCAATGGCCACCTCTCTACCTCAATTTTGTAGATTTTCTCTTGCTTCTTCTCTTCCAGCCTTCCAAAATATTGGATGCTCCACTCTTTAATCTTTCCTTTTAATTCCTTCAACTTCCAATGGAATTTCATACCAATGGGAGAAGCTTCAAATTTTACAGTTATAATGGATCTTCATCAAGGTTCGGCACTTAGCCCTTATCTATTTGCACCGACTAAACATATTCAGGAAGTTCCATAGTGAATGTTGTTAGGAATTCAGAACTGAATAGTACCTTGTTTCTCCTGGACATTCCTAAGGGGGTTTTCCTAGATCCTACCAAATCTGATATTAGGGTTTGGACTCTGTCAGCTTATGGGGTCTTTTCTTGTGCATCCTACTTCAAAGGTTTAACCCAGTCTTCTATTCCTCTAGGGCAGCCTTTTTTGGTTAAGTTTGATACAAACCTATTCCACCTAGGGTTGGGTGTTTCTGTTGGGAAGCAATCCTAGAAAGAGTCAACACTTGTGATTTACTTTAGAAAAAGAGACCAAATTGTTATTTATCTCCTCACTGGTGTGTTCTCTGCAAGGCTATGGATGAGACTCGCTACCACTTTACTAATTGTATTTGGGACTGGTGTTTCTCTTTGTTTGGGTGCAGGTGGTCTCCCCCTGTTGGATGTATAAAGTTGGCCAAAAAAAAAACAGGAAGGGTAACATGGAGATGTTTAAGGAAGGCTATCTGTTGGACTATATGGGAAGAAACGAACGGGAGAATTTTTTCAGATAGAAAGAAAAGTCTACAAGATCTTTTGGAGGTGACCCTATGTAGAGAGTGGTGCAGTGGCGGAAGTCATTGAAACTGTTTAAAGACTTCACAGCGGCAGATCTGGTCAGAAATTGGAAGGACACCCCCTACCTATTTGGATGACTCCTCCCAGGGGTTTCTTCAAATTAAACTTCGATGGTAGTACTGGAATTCCGGGCCCCACAGGTATTAGGGGTGTTATAAGAAATGAGGAAGGTATGGTAACAGCTCTGTTTTTGGGGCCAATTGGAGTGGGGGATGAAGGGATGGAAAGATCCATCGTATAGACACCCGGATAAAGCGGAATAGAATGGGCGAATTTCAAAAATTTCTTTCCTTCCTACAACTGGGAATCGCATTCCCTATTTTAGAAAACTAATTTTCAAGGATCAATCTTGAAACAAGAACCGAATCAGATCTGAACAAAATAGTAGGAGAAGGAAATACCTGATACGGAGAATTAGTATCCCCCAACGAAGGTGTTCACGCCCAGAAAAGTCA